AGGTTTAACCAAACAAGCAAAAAAAAAGGTAACTCAAAAGAGATGATAAAACACTAGTTCCACTACTCTTCTTGATCTACGGCTTCTAGGACTCAATAACAAAAACACTTTCATAATTCATGCAAACATCTATGTAATGGGGAACCAACTCCAGTCCCTGTTCCAGCCAAGGAATGCTGTCGGGACAGGATCGGAGAACAAACTTACCCTGAAAAATCCAGTGGGGCTGAATGGCCACTGGAGCAACCAGGTGAGAGGTCCATGTATGGTCCAGGGTGAAAGAGCCAAACCTTGGGCATATGTGATCACATGAAGAGGGAATGAGCCCTCATCAGTGGGAGTTCTGGCAGTCTCAAAAGAAAGAACCGGCACACTTGGTACCCTCCGGAGCGTGGAATGCACGGTAGGCTGAGAATGCTGTGCAACCCACGTAACAATGCAGAGCTGGGATCTCCCAGCAGCATCCCAGGGACCCAGTGGAATGGTCCAGGAAACAAGGAAGGCTCAAAAGCAGCCTAGTGAAGGATACAAAGTGAGTGAAGAGGAGCTTGACTGGCAGAAAGGCCAGCGAGGTTTCCATGAAGATAATGAGTTAAACATGTGACCACAGGCTGTTGATAAAGTGCTGACATTATTGTACACATCTGGAACCTCACACATTGATGACAAGCAAAAGGAAAATGAATGGGATTTGTATAAGATATAGAGACTTGATAGGACTGGGGTAGAATTAACTAAGCTCCTACAAGACCAGGGAAGCCCATGGGATCCATTAATGCTATTGCTATTCTAGGGATTAAGAGAGACTGCAGAATTTATTGATAATTGATTACTCTTTCATGAATTAAAAGAGACTATGGATCTCAGTAATAATTACTCTCATCTGAAGTAAGAGAGACTGCCAAATTCATTGATGATTCGCCCCTCTCCCATGAATCAGGAGAGATTACTAAATTCATCAATAATTAACCGAACTTTTATGACATCATAAAACAAACTAGGTGGTGACTGGCATTCCTGACTAGACCAAGAACTGATTACATCACACCAGGAAAGGCTCGAAGGAGACAATAGGTTGGGAGCCTATAAGGGAGAATATGGAAGTGAGCATCTTGGAGCACGAGTAGCAGTTGGATCAAAAGAGGCCAAATGGCAGTGACTGCCTGAGGGGTACAGGAGTCCCAAGTTAAGGTGACAGATTTGGGCCACCTGGCCAGCAGTGGAAAGGAGCAGGGTGTAGGAGTGGGAGGAACCCTTAGGAGAGGACAGACTTCAGTCAGGTGGATCTCTGCTCTTCTCTGGACAACTAACCGCCCTTTAATTTTCTTAACAACGAGGCATGGCAGGAAAGAATGAAGGGAAATGAAGGCAGAGATCCAGTACACCCAGACCAGAGAAGTGGTCCCTTCCACACCTTCCTACAAACTACAGTAAAATCCCTGTTATCCTGGATTTTACTAACTGGCACACACTAGTAACTGGAATTTCTGTCTGGCCGGACATCGGGGGGAGGAGGGGAAGGAGCTCGCATGTGGCTGCTGCTGCTGCTGCCACTGCCACATCCACCACACTGTGCTGCTGCCTCTCCGCATGAGGCCACCGCCACTTCTCCCAGGCCCTGCTCCACATGCAGATGCTGCCATCCCCTCCATGTCCAGACAGAAACCCTGTGCCCTCAGGTAACCGGCAGTTTTACATTACCAGCACCCCCCATTCCCCACTCATGCCAGATATCAGGGATTTTACTATACAATGTAAATAGGACATATTATAAGAAAACCCAGTATTTAAGCAAATAGCACTCTAGGCCATCCAGAATATGATGCTTTTATAAAGAAATAACAGCATAAGTTGCCTATTATATTTCAGTGTCTGGGAAACAAGCCAGTTCATCTAGCACTACTAATACTGGCTTTACAGAAATGCCATAGTTTCAGGGTAGATTTCCTTTCTTTGCTGGGTTTCAAGTCAGGTTTTATCATAACCTTACCATTAAGATTGTTTCTTGTGACTTAATGCAATATGCATAAATTGGGTGTTTAAAAACAACAGAAAAGAGTTCTGTACCTTCTGCAATTGCTGAAAAATGTAAGACAGGGTCCTCGGAATGATGCCTCGATCACTATAACGCTCTGCTCCTCCAGTGATGGTAAAAGTTTTGCCACTGCCTGTCTGTCCATATGCAAAGACAGTACCGTTGTATCCTGATAGAGCACTAAAAATGAAAAAGTACATAAGATGTTATTTTTCATGGACTGCTCTTAATGCTTCACCAACAACTGGATTCAAGGCCCAGTGTAATCAGTGGAAGTCTTTCAACTATTTTCAGCAGGATCAGCCCCAAAACACATTTATTTTGGATCACATGAAACTCCTAGAATGCCATGAGCTGACTTATGTCCGAGTGAAATATCATCAGATAATAAAGTTTACCAGTATCTCCATACTTTTATGGTGCCAAGAAATAAGGAAGGTCCATATTACTAGGGCTGGATCATCTTTGCAAGATTACGATGCAGTTATTCAGATTGGCAAAACACAATACTCTCACACCACAATACTCTCAGACACCCAGTACATGACAGTTTAGCATTACTGAGGAATCCATGAATATTCCCAAACTACATACTGCCTTGACAAATTTAGTGCAAAATTAGGGCAACCAGAGAGGTCTGTATTGCTCTTAGAAACTCATCAAGCTATGCCTGTATTAGAAAAACCTTACTGGTATAAAGACTATCAGCATATTTTTCCAGCAAGACTCACAGACTCATAGACATTAGGGCTGGAAGGGACCTCAGAAGAT